CTATCTGCGCTAGTCGTCACTAATTTAGCAGTGACTAGAGGAAGGCAGCTAGTCATCACACCCCCCCCACTCTTGGGCTACTCTTTTTACCAACGAATAGTGGGATTGCGAGTGGAGTGCCCTAACCACCTGACCATACCGGGCTCTATTACAGTGTAAGAATATGAAGGATTTAAAAACTTTATCAGTAGTGTCATATAAAATCACATTTATTTTACTCGCCCAAAACAAGTGGTTCACCGTTATTTAAACGCTAAGGCCCACGAGATCTGAACAGAAAAGTTAATACCTAAATCCATAATGTTGTCTACTATGTCAACGTAAAAAACGCATAAACTTTCAATTTCCACGTTACTGCTTATACAATATAATCCGGAAAAAACGCATGCAAGTAAGTATATGTGCAACCTAAAAAAAATTCAAGTACAAAACCTTTCTAGCTGTATATGGTAAAATCAAGTTGGGATTTGGTTTCAAATGTTAAAATACCATAGAGTGCTAGGTAAAAATATACTTTTCCTACTAACCATTTAATATTATTTGACAGTTTACTTTATAACCAGAAAAGGAAACTTTAAATTTAATCTATTTTTACTTGTATTAATGATAATCTAATAGGGGAAAGAAAGAATTTTTTTTTAAAGAAGGGTGATATCATTTCTACAACTAAGTGTACGAGTTGTGGGTGGGGATATTATTTTAAAGTTTACAAACATATATTTAATAAAACGAATTTACTCACTTTTACTTAATATTTAATAGTCGGATGTTACACGCTTAAATTAAATTCAGTAAAAACAATGTGATATTAATCATTTCAATATATGTTTTAAAATAACATTTATACATAAAACAACATTGTTTTTCAGTTTCTCCTTTTCCTACAGACTTTCAGGTTCTAATGCCTCAATATTGCACCTAGGGCCGACGATGGAATCAAATTCTCTGTAATATAAAATATAAGTATAAAATCCAATCGCTTGGCATTTTTAAGGAAAGGCATGCTACATAATTCTGGTAAAGTCTTTTAAGCCTTAAAGTAGTCTCAGTATTTCTAGAATGAAGGATAATTCTAATAGCAACGTTTCCATTATACATTTATAATTCAAGACTCAAATACAGCTAAAGAATATAAAATATTGCGCTAATCTAAACATTTGCCATTTAAGTTTTAAATAAAAAGCTGAATTAAGTTCAAAAAGAAAAAATGTTCATATACGCTCTAGCAAAAGTGTGTTTATATTGCCAGTTTTAATGTTTAAAACAAGCAATTTAGACTTCAGAAACTCACAACTGATAACAGACAAAATGCACACAAGATCACCTCGAAATATGTTTATTTCTCTAAAATACTTATCTGCGTGGAACCAGGTGTTTTTTGTTTTGCTTTTTTTCGTGACCTTCAATTACCATCGAAGGGAGATCCCATCACCGCTAGAATACGCGTTGCAGTGAGCAACAACGCCCCACGAATTAAAAAAAAAGCCTGAAAGTTAAACTTTGGTATGTTATAGTAATGTCAGAGATATCTACAAAAATAAAAAACATGTTTATCCAGATCCAATTATTAGTCAATTCGAAAGGCGTGTTTGTTTGTTCTCTTAGCGCAACGTTACATAATTGGTAATCTGCATTATTTCCAATTTAAATAGTACATATACTTTATCTAAAAATTATGTAGAAGGAACAATATACACTGCAGCCGTATGCTTGAAAATTTACCTATTTTACACGCACACAATGGTTGTGTGCTAATAGGATGCAACAAAAATACCTTGAACGGTTTAAATCATCAAATGTGAAACGTAGCAGTTATGTCCATAGCTATTTTACACACACACAATGTTTAAATTATCAAATGTGAAACGTAGCAGTTATGTCCATAGCTATTTTACACACACACAATGTTTAAATCATCAAATGTGAAACGTAGCAGTTATGTCCATAGCTATTTTACACGCACACAATGTTTAAATCATCAAATGTGAAACGTAGCAGTGATGTCCATAGCTATTTTACACACACACACACACACACACACACATTGGCTCAGAATTAAGTTAACATGCTTAAGTCACTAAAAATCTAGTTTCGATACCCGTGGTGTGCAGAGCACAGATAGCCTATT